GCGAAGTATCACGATTAGCGTGATGGTGAGACTATATATTCTAATTATCTTCAATTATAGCTTAATAATTGAAGATGCTAATCAAGCCAGACATGCATGGTCAGCATTCTAATTACGCCATGAATATATAGATATATGTATATACTTCTTCTATGGTTGGCTAAAAACTAAGCTGATATATAAGTTGTCTTAGATTGTCATGAGCATTTTAAACAGTTTGGAACTGCTAAGAAAATTTCCCTACTTTTTAAATTAAAAAAAGAATTTTAAATTTGAAATAGAATTTTATTTGCCGATTCATGATTAATAACTAATGTTAAAATAAACCAAATTTCATTGCAGGAAGAGGACATCAATCAGCAGGAAATAAACCTCATTCGAAGATTGCACCGATTGATAGGCTTGATGCACTTCCAGTCATAATTCTGTGAGAAGAACAAAGAAAACATGAAAGTGAAAGAACTTTAACGACTGCTGTTCGAGTGAACGTTCGTGTGAACGTTAGAGCTAACATTCGTGTGAACTTACGCGTGAACGTTCCCGTGAAATTACGAATGAACGTTCGAATGAACTTACGAGTGAACGTTCGCGTGAACTTACGCGTGAACTTACGCGTCAACGTTCGTGTGGACTAACGAGTGAACGTTCGCGTGAACGTTAGAGTAAACGTTTGTGTGAACGTTCGTATTAACTTACGAGTGAACGTTCGTGTGGACTAACGAGTAAACTTACGCATGAACGTTCGTGTGAACTTACGAGTGAACGTTAAAGTGAAAGTTGAGCGTCATTCAATGAAATAGCGGTTTCAGCGTTTATTAGGCAGTAGGCCTGTCGCCGATTCTAAACATCGCAGAACATTCACAACTTGTTGCTGTCTCAAACTCACAACTCACTGTTACAATTTTGCTTTGCTCAACCGCCCGGCCTCCTCGCCGATTCTGACCAGAAACTGGCGCACAGAGCTGGGATCGAACCCGCACCTCTCTGCGCCAATCTTGGTACTCTGGGCCTAAACTTTCAAAAAAGTTAAGAGATCGTAAGTTCATCAGCCAATCATTGACGGCCTTTCAAGCAAAATCCACCAATCATAGACAAGATAATAGAGCGTAAGTACTTACGTTCGCTTAGCGAGTTTTGAAAGTATGGCCCCTGAACTTTAACCACTGGGCCACCCTGCGACAGTTTGCCGTACACTTGCTGACGCTGCAGAGCAGGTTTACCACAAGCTATATATTTTTCAAAATAACTTTAATATTTTCCTAAAATTTGTGTACATGTTTGTCTGTTGAAGCCTGGCGCCTCGACTTATAAAGGGGGCTGTTGGGGCGCGTATCTAGGATACAAAGAGGGTCGAGATATAACCAGGGTTTAAAGCAGAACCTTCGTTTTCAATTGTTTAAATTTGATATATTGAATGAAAAGTGATCGATGAGTTCATACCTGAAATCGATTTATAATTAATATAATGAATGACCATTGTAAGTTATATTGAAAAAAATCTTCACGTGTTCTCTAAATTCCAAAAACAGAAGCTGAACGAGAGTTCAGTGATGAATATGAATTTAAACGTTACTTTATTTAAATAAAATAATTAGGAACAATACTTTTAGCTGGGCTTGAAAAGACGGGATTCGGGCCAGAAGGGATTTATATATGCACTAGGTACAATGTATATCCGGTGTCTAGCTAAATAGGGGGGGGGAATATAATAGGAAAGCTTGAATACCTAGTTAAATTTTGCCAGCATTAGAATGAAAAATTCCGGCTGTTTATTTAATAATTGGAGCTTTTTCAGATTCCAGTTTGTACATGTGTATTTTATCGATGATTTTTAAATTATTCATTCAAATTAAGAAGAGAATATTCCTGTCCATTGAACGTTTAGATGACATTCAAGATAACTATGCCCGTTTGATGCAGGAATAGTATCGAAGTTACCGGTACACTTGAAGTAACTAAATATGGTATCTAGAATGCACAGCTTAAGCAAGCATTGGAATTAATATCTAGATAAATGATGATTGTTTAGAAATAAAAGATCTAGTTGAGAATATTTAGTTTTGCCACTACTTTAGCTCTAGGATTACCTACAACTTACCAGTTACTAGAAGCTCATGACGGTAATTACCCGCTATTTAATTACTATGGTATTAATTCACAATAGTTGAAACATACAATCTCTCGTGACATAATCAATTAATTAATTAACCGTTTCATTGCATAATCAAATGAATTCTAATCCAGAAATATAGTCATTAGCATTAATAAATCATATATTCAGTTAATCAATCTACTATAGAACTGGACTGATAAAAGAAAACTTCGATAATCTATTGGCAGGGTAAATAAGACCAATTAAATAGTCCAATACATAAAAAATGGTCGGCTATAAACATAGTCTGATTTTTTAATTCAATGATCAATTAATTAATCAACCAATTATCCAAAGAGACGTTCAAGAAGAAATTATTGAGCGTCGCCAAGGAAGCGAATTTCTTATTTACATCTTGGATTTGGGGAGCGGGGTAGGAATTCATCGGAATTCAATTCAGTGCGAATTCAACGGGACTAGGAACGGGAATTCACGGCGGAATAAGAATAGAAATTCACAGGGGAATGGGTGTGGGCGTTCACGGGTCACGGGGAATAGGAAGGGGAATTCGCGGGGGAATAAGAGTGGGAGTTCGCTGGGAATCGGAGTGGGAATTCACTGGAGAATACGAATGGGAATTGAAGGGGTAGTAGGAGTGGAAATTCACTGAGAAATAAGAATGGGAATTCACGGGGTAATAGGAGTCGGAATTCATTGGTAAATAAGAAGGGGAAAAGGAAATGAAGAATCCATGAGTTATATGGTAGAATTGCCATATTCATACAGATATGCCATATGTTGTGGAACATAAATACAATGTTTTGGATGACATAATATTTGTAGCATGCCACAAAGTGTACACCATAAATAGTATGCCACAATGTGCACACCATAAATAGCATGCCACAAAATTCACGCCATAAATGGCATGCCACTAATTATGCACCATAAATAGGAATGAGAAAGTAATATCTAATTCGAAGTAATGATAATCCAAATACAGATATAATGGGAAGTGACCCATATTCTTACAATATAATGGGTAAACTAAATAATTAGGTTAGAGAGTAGGCGTAATATTGAGGACTGGTATCATAGGAAATTATTACAAATTAGTGACATATAGAAGAAACGAAGGTATTCGTAGGCATCGACAGTATTTATTTCTTATTGATAATAAGTAGACAAGTTCCGTACAGTAAAGGTTAATGTAACAAGAGTACAATGCAGCGACACTGCATATCACATATAATGGTAATGTTGGAGCCAGGGCGAAGTTGAGGGTATTGTAGAGACAGAAATGGCTGGTGGAAATGTCCCTTGCCGGTAGAAATTTGTATTTCATTGTAGAAATTGGTTTTCTCAGTAGGAGCCTGCTTTTATAGTAGAAATCTCCCTTTCAAGAAAAAATCTTCCTGTTAAGTAGAAATCTTCATGTCAATTAGAAATCTTCCTGTCAAGTAGAAATATTCATGTCAATTAGAAATCTCAAAACCAGTAGAAACATGCCCTCCCTAGTAGATATTTCCTGTTTCAATATAATCCTGCTCTTAGAGTAGAAATCTGCCTCTCATGTAGAAGTCTACTCTTCAAGTAGATCTGCCTTTTAAGATGCCCTTCCAGTAGAAATGCAGAAATGAACTTTCCATGCAATGGAAATTATTGTTTCTTACAGGAGCTGCAGTCTCGGTAATGCTTAACTTATATAGAGATGCAAAACTGTGGGTTAGCTTACACTAAATATTCTTTACAAACGGTTAATCATAAGGAACATCAAAAGAGGTTAACCCTGAAGTGGCTGAACGTAATGTCTTGTATTCATGTTTTGTTTGATCAAGTAGGTTCAAGTGGTATTCAGTGCCTGGGGAAATGGGTTGGGAAATGTGTTGCTGCAGAATGTAATAAGTTGAAAATGGAACCGCGTTGTTTACGGAAGAAATGGATAAAATTACCCCAAAGGCATACAATTACCTCAAATGGATATAATTATCCCAAACTTCATGTCCGTGAGACGCTCACTGAAAAGTAAATATTAGCTTTAACTTACATAGTCAGCCAAGCCCAGATGGAACTTTAACTTGTATAACCAATTATGCTGCTACAGTTTAACAAATTTAGCTTTAAGACTTCTAATAACTGTGAATTATTATATCTATAAAAATAAATTAATGAGATGTGATTAATTTCTTCAGCTTTGATCTTTCCTCCCCGAGTGTAGGGTGGTCAAGACTGTGGGACTTTCAGCCTCGAAGGGAATAGCGGCCATATATGTTGCCTCTATTTTAGGATGCAAGTTCTTGTTGTGGATGCTTTACTGTCCCCCGAAAATACGGCTGTATAGTTCTCTGTGTATGAAGAATTTGGTCAACAGGTGCTAAGGTCAAGGTTAGACAGTTACCTTGGTATGAATATTATCATGTATGTGTGTGAAGTGAGAAGGAGGGTAACTGGTGATGATGAAAAGGTTAGACGGGACCATGATATGAATATTACCATTTAGGCGTGTGAAGTGAGAAAAGGTTAACAGATGTTGAGATTAAGGTTAGACAGGTACCTTAGTATGATTATTATTAATACATAAAAAGACATGTATTAGTTTAGAAGTTAACAATTGTTAAGGGTCGTTACCTGACACATATTTTAGGTCTAAGAAGGCTTAGGAGTTTATTAAGAAACCATTGAGTTGTTCATAATTTTATCATGAAAATTAACATGTAATTTTACCTTCATAAAAAACTCATTTGCAGAACCAAATCAAAAATGGTACGAGTTTCTAAAATAAAAATAATTTTTCCATAATAGGTTGAACTATTTGATGTAGCAAATGTTCGATATATATCTCAATTAAACCATATATAAGAATGCAATTTTGAATATACTACTCGATTGTATGGGACTAGGAACAAAACTAGAAGAAATGCAGACTTATTTCCCCATCTGATGGGGATCCTTCCCCCGTAGATTTTGGTGGTGGGGATGACGATGGAAGTGGAGGTTGGGGAATGAACCTCGGGGGAAGTGGGGGAGGTGGATCAGTCCTGTGGGTGTTGGTGGAGTTTGTCGAGGATGTTGTCGTTGGGGCGGTGTAGATAACGTTGGAGTCCATAACGCTTGGTATCGTCGCCGGCGTTGAATACCCGAAGAATTCATCGGAATTTTCGATTGTTGAATGTTCCCCACGCGAGGTCGAGTAATTCGGAGGTGGAAAATGCGTAGAGTGGGAAAAGCTCGAGTTGGATTGGGGGAAACTGCCGCCACAAAATCCCTGGTTATTGGGAGAGTAGTTATGCGATGCGAAACTCGAAGGAGGTTTGATGAAATATGGTCCTACAGTTGGTGATTCGTTGCTGCTGAGGGTGGAAGAGTCGGTGCTCATGGTGCTGCTGCTGTGTCTGTTAGTGCTGCTGGTGGTGCTATTACTGCTGTTCCTGTTGTTACCACTGCTGCTGTTCCTGCTCGCACCACTGTTCTTCCTGTTATTACTGGTCCTGTTAGCAGTTCGACCAGCACCAACGTTACTGATTGTGTGTGAGTTATAATCGGGGTAGTTACTGCGGCTGCTACCGTTACTGTTACCGTTAGTATTGACACTGTTGTCACGGAATGAGCTGACAATGTTGTCACTGCTCTTGTTGCACTTGCCGTTGAAAGGCGTGATGGTGTTGCTTGTGTTGTTGTATGCTACGATGCTGTTGATACTCTTGCTGTTGTTGACAAGCGTATTACTGCGAAGATTATTCCTCGTATGCATGTTGTTGGTGCCTCTGTTTGTGCTATTTGTGTTGTTGATGTTGTTTGTGCTTCTACAAGACAGTATCATGTTGTTGGAGCTGCATATGTTGTTGCTGCTTCGGCTGCTCAGTTTCGCCGATGACCGCCCGTTGGCAACACCGTCTGTCATTTTGGACAACATTTCAACCTCGGAAGTTCCTCCGATTTTCAATTCCCCCCACGAGCGTGAGGGGACAAGGGGAAGTCTTGGATCATCCCCCAAGAGGATAACTCCAGAGTGGCTGCTACCGACCATTGTTTCCTCCCCAACCATTCCCCCAGCCCCACCGCTGGATGACGCGCCCCCTTGTGCACCGAATGAAGCCCTATCGAGCCCCAAAGAGGAAGAACTAAGCGCTGATTTCTCCACCAAGAACCCCAAGTCGATGGTGTTGCTGCTTGGCTTGCCGAAAATGCGTGGGGAAGATGAGGAATTCTTCCTTCTTCTTTTCCCCAACCACACAACCCCGGTGCCCACTACCAGGAGGGTCAAGCCCACCCCAAAGCCCACCACGACGCCCACGTACACGTGGTGGGCGGCGGTGGGCGATATGCGGGCGACGGTGGACGACGGGGAGCCCGTGGACGACGGGGCGTCAGAATCGGGCGCGGGGTGGCGGTGACTGGCGGGGTCCAGCGGCTGCCAAATGTCGTCCAGCGAACACGAACATGGCTCTGCAGGACAAACATGAGGTGAGTGGCGGGGATATGGCTGGCAGACATGGAAAAGAACATGGCTCTGCAATAGACATGACCTGCAGAGAAACCTGACTGTCATGCACCAAACTGAAAGTAGACCCCTGGCCCCACTGTCACTGTGGACCAGACTGTCAATCTGGACCAGACTGTCAATCTGGACCAGACTGTCACTCTGGACCTGACTGTCACTCTGGACCTGACTGTCACTCTGGACCAAGAGGGTAACGTGGTAGAGGGTAACGTGGTAGAGGGTAACTTGGTAGAGGGTAACGTGGTAGAGGGTAACGTGGTAGAGGGTAACGTTGTAGAGGGTAACGTGGTAGAGTTCTAGTATATTTCTATTGACCTATGAAATAATATTCATACCATTTATCTCTTTGTTAGCAGTTATTGCGGCAAAGCTAGCTAGTATTTATGATCATTAAATTATAATATTTTCGATATAATTCCATAAGTCTATTGGTGTGGAATAAGCATGTCCATTTAATTTCTGTTCACATAAATCCCAACAGTTTTTTTTCAGTAGTTGAAATAATGTGAATCAAATTTCTTTCGGCGCTGGTTCACAGCCGATTTTTCTCCTGGCATGTTTTCCCTGTAATTTATCCAACTAATAACACATTAATAAAAAATCCTCGAATGATCCCAACTGATTTTTTTCAGTGATTGAAATAATGTGAATAAATTTTTTTGGTGCTTTCTTGTTCATAGCCGATTTTTCTGCTGGCATATTTCCCTGTAATTTATCCAACTAATAAAAAAGTACTCGAAAAATTTAATGAATGAAAGTTTAACTTTCTGTCCACGAAACCTAAAAGATTTTTCACTGAAGTTCATAATTTCTGTCTGGATTTTTTGCGTTGGTCTTCAGCCCGTTTGCAGCGAGCGGCTCATGAGACAGCGGCTGCGTCTATTAGGCTCGTTCTTCCCTCGTTAGGCCTTTTATGCATGAGTCATCCTTCAATTACTGCTAACGTCGTCCACTACAACTAATTAACTCATCACCTAAACTAATTACGTCACCCGGCCTCGTATTACTATCACAAATTGCTGTTCTTCGAATATATCACTTCTGTGATAAAAAATTCTTTAGTCACATCTAAAATATTTATCGGTCAGAAAAATGATTTATGAATCACCCGAGTATATTAGTCGAATTTAAAGTACTTTAAGCAGCGGTGAAATATTTCAGACACCGCGAAAATATTTTATCGTCACTAAAACTATGTATGTCGCTCCTAAAACATTTAATTGATGATAAAATATTGTAAAAGGGATAAAAAGCTGAGATTGTCCTCGAAAATTTTTAGTCATTCCCAAAATAATTTTGTCACTACAAAAGCTTAATAACCTCAAATTACTTTAATCACTAACAAAATATTTTTTTTTTCACTTCAACAAAATTTTAATCTCCGCCAAAATATAACCGATAAATCATAGATTAAAAACGAATTCGTTGAGCTTACAAAACTGAACTGGCATTGGAAGATGAATCAATAATCTTTCCGTAACAAGAAAAACGCTGTCAATTTCATATACAGATTAGCTCTAAATTGATCATTTGCAGAAAAAAAGTTGACTTTGTTTCAAACCTTGTAAAAAAGTCAACTTTTTTTACTTACTGCATTACTTTTCGAAATTCATGTACCTACGGATCACAGTGAAAATTAAAAGATGATATTCATTATTTCATTTTTCTCGGCAAACAAAAACATTACTTGAACAACACGAATTGAAACAATGATTTTCTCCTGTAGTGGCTCATTTTTTTATCATGAAGCCTCAACAAAATTTAGGTTATTAAACGCTTTCGATGCAGCCCCTCTCTACTTCCAAATTTTTTTTTTCTCAATCTCTATTTATAACAAAAACTTTTCAGACCCAAACAAAAATGTGTGCTAGAAGACAAGTTATAAGCAATAGTCGAATCATTTGATCGTAAGAAATATGAGAGTTTAGGCCGTACCTGCTGGTCGTAAGTTACGACGTCAGTTACGCTCAAGTCGTGTCGCGTATATGCGTTGGAACCGAAGCTTACGGTGGCATTCAGCAACGACGTCTGAGAATACGAGAGAAAAACATGATTATGAACATGATTAGAAACCATGATTAAACATGATTAGAAACCATGATTAAACATGATTAGAAACCATGATTAAACATGATTAGAAACCATGATTAAACATGATTAAAAACAATGATTAAACATGATTAAAAACCATGATTAAACATGATTAAAAACCATGATTAAACATGATTAAAACCATGATCATACTTAAAACCCAGAGTTTTTGGTTTGAAACTCGCAAATAATTGTGAAAATTCGTATCGAAATCGACAATAAGGCCGGGTGGTTAAAAAAATCAGCCAGTGGCCATAATGACATGAACACTGCTGACACCACTATATTATATTGTTATAAACATTAGAAGATAATGAATAATATTTTATCATAAATATTATATTTTCACATATATGTAAGTGTTATTGAATTGTTATGCTAATCAAAAAAGTATTTACGTCGCATCATTATTGTTCCGATGCCCGTAATTCAAACCACTATACTGTACCAGGGGGCTGGGGTGTAGGGGGGTCAGGTACTGTACCAGGGGGCTAGTGTAGGGGGGTCAGGTACTGTACCTGGGGGCTGGGGTGTAGGGGGGTTAGGTACAGGTACATCGCTCTGAAGGCTCGCATCTGCCAGAAGGTGAAGTTGACGTGAAGAGCTGAGCGCGAGCTGATCACTTCGCCCTCGCAGTGCGCTGGGCAAACGGAAAATGGTTAACGAGGCTAAAAATTTCTTTTATTTCCACAACCTATTTCATTTATTTCCATATCTATTTCATTTATCTACTGTTCTACGCAACCAATTTCCGTCATTTATTCCACAACCTATTTACTTTTATTCTAAAACTCATTACCTTTATTTCTCCAACCCATTTCCTTCATTTCGCAACCTATTTCCTTTATTTTCACAACCTATTTTTTTTTGTTTCCACAACCAGTTTCCTTTATTTCCACAACCTATTTACCTTATTTCCACAACCTATTCCTCCATTTCCACAACCTCTTTCCTTTATTCTCACAATCTATTTCCATTATCCACACGACCTATTTCATTTATTCCCACAACCTATTTTATTTATTTCCACAACCTATTTCCTTTATTTCCACCACCTATTTCCTTTATTTCCAACCTATTTCCTCCATTTCCACAACCTATTTCCTTTATGTTCACAACCTATTTCATATTTTTCACTTATTTCCACAGCCTATTTATTTTATTTCCCCAACCTATTTCCTTTATTTTCCCAACCTATTTCCTTTATTTCCCCAACTTATTTTCTTTATTTCCCCAACCTATTTCCTTTATTTCCCCAACTATTTCCTTTATTTCCCCAACTATTTCCTATATTTCCCCAACTATTTCCTTTATTTCCCCAACCCACCATCAGAAGTTATATTGTCTTTCAGTTCCCGGGCATCCCCGAGACCTGGGGAGGCGCTGGGCACGATGGAGTCATAGAGGGCTCCTTCCCCAACCCCGTAGGTCGTGGGGAGCGGGTATGGGGAGGATAGGGAGGCCTTCTCCATGGAGTAAGCCTTGACTCCATCTGGCGGGGAGATGACGTGTGGTCAGAAATCGGGGATATCTGGGGAATATATAAAGTGGATGTCCATTGTTCAGCCGTACAGCGTATATAACTGCCGTACAGCGTATATAGCAGCCGTACAGCGTATATAGCAGCCGTACAGCGTATATAGCAGCCGTACAGCGTATATAGCAGCCGTACAGCGTATATAGCAGCCGTACCGTGGACGTAGCAGCCGTACAGTTCCATACGCAGACACACGACCCTGGGCTGCACGCTGTACGGCACCACGCGCAGCCGTCGTGCAGACAGCGGCCGTACCAGCGCGTTCCTGACAGTACTGAAGGTGTCCCTGTTGCCCGTGAACACGGTCTGTGGGGGAGGGGGGGTCAGTTAGATAAAGTAACCTAAAGTTTGAGTTACTTAAAGTTTGAGTAACTCAAAGTTAGAGCAACTCGAAGTTGGTGAAACTCAAAATTAGAGTAACTTAAAGTTAGAGTAATTTAAAGTTAGAGTAACTCAAAGTTGGAGTAACTCAAAGTTAGAGTAACTCAAAGTTAGAGTAATTTAAAGTTAGAGTAACTCAAAGTTAGAGTAACTCAAAGTTAGAGTAACTCAAAGTTAGAGTAATTTAAAGTTAGAATAACTCAAAGTTGGAGTAACTTAAAGTTAGAGTAACTCAAAGTTA